GATATAAAATATAAAAATATATAAAAATGAAAATAAGATAAAGAAATGTATTAATATATAATAAATTATATATAAATAGAAGTGTATTCATATATAAAATAAAATATAAATAATAAGAATATAAAACTAATAAAATATGATAAATATAAAATATATAGATAAAATGATGATATATATAATATAATAATAAAATATATAAAAATAAAATACATAAATAACATAATAATAACATAATAATAAAAATGAATACATACATTGAATCAAATATCATTTCTGAATCATTTATATTTCAGAACAATTTATTATAAAGTGATATAAAATATAGACAAATATAAATGAATATAGAATGAGTATTTAATTTACATTTTTATTTTTTATTTTTTTTAGGAGCAAAATAATAAAAACTATTATTTTATTGATTCAAAATATTTTGCCCTTTTCTTTTTGTTATTTTTATTTAGATGCATTATTTCTTTGCTTATTTTGGTTCCCGAAGAATAACTAATAAAAAAGAAAATAAATTTCAAATAATAAAAACAATATTTAAATAATAATTTTATCAAATAAAGAAATATAATTTATTATAAAAGAAGAAAAACAAAATCAAATATATTTATAAATATATTATTATAATAAAAAAATAAGATAATATAAAACATAAATAACTATAAATTACAATCAAATATTTAAAATATCAAATAACACAAATAACATAAATAATAAAAATAATAAAAAGAATAATAAAAAACAAAAAAATAAGAAATAATAGATATATCTATAATTGGATTTTATGATTATTGTAAAATGATTATTTCAGTAAAATACTATGCTCTATTTCTATAATATGAAATACTTATTTCTACATATTCAACACTAGCAACACATTAGAAGGCTCCTCTTCTAATGTACTACCAGTGTTGAATGTGTAGAACATTAATTGTTTTATTTTTTTTAATAATGATTGTTTGTAGTGTCTTATGGAAGTTAGTTTGTAATTTTAGTGTTTTTAACTTTTCGTTGTGGTTCAATTTATTGTTAATATTACAGGTATTATTTCTACTTAAATTATTTCTCTATTTTGTTTTAACTTCTCTTATAATTCTTTGTATTTATTTTGTAAATAATTTAATTCTTTATTTCTATCTTGATATATATCAATATCATTAAGATATCTTTTTTATCTTTGATGTTTTGATAATATATATCTGGTATTCTAACATTAAAAGAATGTCATTAACCAATAAATCTTTATTGTAAGTTATAACCATTTCATCATTATTAATACATTTAGGAGGTGTATTAAAATCTATTTCATCAATTTCATTAAAATGGATAATTAATATATGTTTATTTATTTGTTTACACACACAACCCTGTTTTAATATTTAATTCTTCTTCATTACATGACATCATAACAATATATGATTAATAGATAGAATAATGATATAACAATGTTTATAATATTTTAATAATCAATTGAGTATTTTAGATTTAATATTTCAGTTTATAATTACTCCTTCTTACATCTTTCCTAATTGAATAAAATACATTTGATTTTATATTTAATGACATAATTTGATTATGATAATTTCATAATATTAAATATACATTTTATATTTCTTATATAATCACTACATTTCTTTCTATTCATTTAAATATCATTTAATTTATTTGTTACAAATTCAAATACATTGTTTATATCATGTTTTCATTCATTTAATTGTGTTATATCCATTAAATCATATAAATTAATATTCTTACCAAATACTTTCTTCATCATTATTTTAATTATTCAATTTAAATACTCTTTTATTATTTCTATCATTTCATTTATTTCATATTTACTTGTATTCATTATTTCAATATTGTTTATATCTTTTTTTATGTTTTTATAATAAACATTTATATTATAAAGTGTTTGTTTGATTCTATTTTCATAATGATAAAATATTTATTGTGATGAAAAAGAAATGATGAATGAAATGATTCATGCTATTATTATTGTAATTGTTGAAATGATAGTTATTGTTATGGTAACAATTATTGAGATAATTATTGTACTTCTGTCAATACAAATAATACCCATTTTCACTCATTCTTCTATCATTTATATTCCTTGGTTAATAAGGATTTATTATTCTTTTGTAATTAATTTAATACTTTTTTGTGATATTTCTGTAATACATCTTTTTTTCAAAAAATTATGATTAAAATGAAAATAACATCGACAAATAATCTGAAAAAGTTTTGATTTTTTTAATTCAAACCAAAAAGAAACGAATAGATAAATTTAGTATCCTCCTCTTAATCTTAAGACTAAATGAAGTGTTGATTCTTTTTGAATATTATAATCTGAAAGGGTCTTTCCTTCTTCTAATTGTTTTCCAGCGAAAATAAGTCTTTGTTGATCTGGTGGAATTCCTTCTTTTTCTTGAATCTTAGCCTTAATAGCATCAATAGAGTCGTTAGGTTCAACTTCTAAGGTGATAGTCTTTCCAGTAAGAGTCTTAACAAAGATTTGCATTTGATAAGTAACTGTTAATTAGTTCTTTTTTTTTCTTTTTATAATCCTCAATGACGTTTTTATTTTTAAAAAAAAACATCAATGACGTGGTTGTTGTTATTATAGTATAATTTATTATTTTATATTCTATAAAGTTTTTTAAATATTTCAATTTTATTGTGCTATTAAAATTAAATGTGTTATTTATTATCCATTAAACATCAACCAACAAAATATTTCTTTTTCTCTCATAAATAATATAAAAGTACTATCTGAAGAAAAAACAAAGGTGAAGAAGTTCATACAAGTTATGGACTTGCAAACAAACAAAACAATAAAAAAATAATTGGAACACTTGAAAATAAAATGATAAGTAATGAAAGTGAAGAAAAAGTTAAACAAGAAATTATTGGTATGATAGCATTAAGCCAACACGAATACAGTAAGAATAAAATAGTTTCATTTATTAGAAGTATTTGTGGAATTACATCAGATGAAATTAAAAGACATAGTGTCAATGATTTTGAAATAACAAAACATGAAAAAGGTGAAGAACTACATTGTAAGATTGTAATAATTATTCCAGAAAATGATATTGTGGAAGATGAATTACTACAACAAAAAGAGAAGTTATTAAAAATATTAACTCTTTAAATACACAACTGAGCAACAGAAAAATGAAAATGAAAACAACATAAAAAGAATAAGAATAGGGTATAATGAAATAATGATAACATTAAAGTATTTTAATGATACTAATGACTTTATTAATTTAGAAATAGGAATTAAAATATTTCAATGAAATATGGAAAGATTTCATTTTAATCCAATTCCATTAAATGAATATTCAAGAAAATTATTTCCTAACATTGAAACATTTCATATTTATAATAAATATAATGAAATATTTAAAGATGGAAAAATATTTAAATATGTGATATGGCATGATATTAGTTATTCATTACATTTAAAAGAAAAAGGAAAATGTAAAACATAGAATATATACAAAAGAAGATAGAAATAGATATTGGAATAAATACCATAGAAGTTAAATCAATTGGAGATGAATATTTTATGTTTTGTTATGGTATGAAAGAAATTAATATACCATCACTAATTAGTGAAATATAAAACAGATATTTTTATGAATGTTCATCATTAAAATTAATTAATATAGAAAATGTACAATTCGTTAGTGAAGATAGGACATTTGTAAAAACAGAAAATAAGGCATCAATTGAAATTGATAATTTAAAAAGGTTAATAGAAAAAGAAATATAATGAAGATATAATGAATTTATTATTCCATCAACAGTTAGTGAATTAGGAAATAAATGTTTTTGTTAGTGTTCATTATTAAAATCAATTACCATACTTAATTCTGTCAGAAAATTAAAAGATAAATGTTTTAGAGGATGTTTTTCATTAACATCAATTAATTTACCATCAACAGTTAATAAAATAGGATGTGACAGTTTCTTCAAATGCACATCATTAACAAACATCAACATTCTATTAACAATTACATCATTTAGATATGGATGAAAAGAAGAATTAAAGAATACCAGAAAAATGTTTTGTTGTAAAACAATTGATAAAATAATTAAATCATTCATTTATTTTGAATGTTTAATGTTCATTCAATGATTAAATCATCATTGTCATTGATATTTGTGATATTATTTCGTTTTTGTTATTAAATTATGTTATTATTTGATGACATGATACCACGTTATTCCACGTTGATATGAATAACAAAATATGAATAACAACCAACACAACAATAAGTCATCACATCATCCTCATTAAGTATTTAAAGGAACTTGAACAAATAACAAGCATTTAGAAATAAAACATGGACCCAAACAAATGGACAGATGCAACTGTTCAAATGTTCAAAGAATCACAAGAAATAGCATTTGAAAGAAAAAATGCATACATTATGCCAATTCATATGATGGAAGCAATTGTTGAAGAAGAATCAAATATTGTTATCCGAATAGTTGAAATGATGGGAGGTGATGTTAATAAATTAAAGAAAGAAATAAAAGAAACAATGAATAAAATCCCAGTTCAAAATCCACCACCAGTTGATATTGGACTTCATCCAACAACACAACAAGTATTAAGAAGAGCAATAGAGAAACAAAAAAGAATGGGAGACTCATATCTTGCAATAGATGTAATTGTAATGTCATTAATGGAAGAGAAAGAAATTAGTACAATAGTAGGAAATAGTGGAATTAATGTGAAAGAATTTAACAAAAAAATAACAGAAATGAGAAAAGGACAAAGTGTAGAAACAAAAGAAGCAGAAAGTCAGTATGAAGCATTAAAGAAATATGGAAATGATTTAACAGCACAAGCAGAAAGTGGAAAGATGGATCCAATTATTGGAAGAGATGAAGAAATTAAACGAGTTATTCGTATTTTATCAAGAAGAACAAAAAATAATCCAGTATTAATAGGAGAACCAGGAGTAGGTAAAACAGCAGTAGTTGAAGGACTTGCACAACGAATAGTTAAAGGAGATGTTCCAAGTAATTTACAATGTCGAGTTATTGGATTAGATATGGGAGCATTAATAGCAGGAGCACAATATAGAGGACAATTTGAAGAAAGATTAAAAGCAGTAATAAAAGAAGTTAAAGAAAGTAAAATACCTATTATATTATTTATAGATGAAATTCATACAGTATTAGGAGCAGGAGCAACAGGAGAAGGAGCAATGGATGCAGCTAATATTTTAAAACCAATGTTATCAAGAGGAGAATTACGATGTATTGGAGCAACAACATTAGAAGAATATAGAAAATATGTAGAAAAAGATCCAGCATTTGAAAGACGATTCCAACAAGTTTATGTAAAAGAACCAAGTGAAGAAAATACATTATACATTCTTCGAGGAATACGAGAGAAATATGAAAATCATTATGGATTAACAATTACCGATTCAGCATTAGTTTCAGCAGCAACGTTAAGTAAAAGATATATCAATGGAAGATTTCTTCCAGATAAAGCAATTGATTTAGTTGATGAAGCATGTGCTACATTATTTACACAAAAGAATTCACAACCAGAAGAAATAGATAAATTAGAAAGAAGAGAAACACAATTAAATGTAGAGAAAATAGCATTAGAAAGAGACATTAAAGAAAGTGATGAAGATCATAATAAAATGATTAAAGAAAGACTACAAGAAATTGAAAAAGAATTAAGTGAAAATAAAGAGAAATTAACAAAATTACGAATTAATTATGAAAAAGAAAAAGGAGGAAGTGAAGAAATGAAAGAACTTGCAACAAAAATAGAAGCTATGAAACATAAAGCAGAAAGTACTAAAGATTTAGAAGTAGCAGCTGATTTAAAATATTATGGCATACCAGAAGCAGAAAAAAGAATGAAAGAATTAAAGGGAACAAATAAAGAAACAACAATGATATCATTACAAGTTACACCAACACAAATAGAAGAAGTAGTTAGTAGATGGACAGGGAATTCCTGGTT